GTATTCAATAACGGTATTTTTCTTTGCGATGAATGGTATTTTCCTTTGCGACGATGAGCATTAAATCTTTTTTTTCGGTTAAAATTATGATGAATAATGGTTAAAATTATGATGAATAATTTATTTGTTCCCAGTCTCAAAATCCTTATTTTTTCCCTCCTCCTTCATAAAAGGTTTATAACTTTTCACAATAACATTAAAATTATTTAAAAAATTTTTTAATAAAATTTAAATGATTAAAACTGTTCCTTAGGCCTCTTTTTCATGCTTCTTTAGGCCTCATTTTCAGTTTTTAAAGCAAAATCTACGATTAGATATCATTTATAGTAAAAAGCATAGCACCTACTGCGCTCAGCTGAGCTCAGAAAATTTGGCTGTAAATTTTTATCTATATATGAGAGTGTAGTTTAAAGTAGATCACATAGTTGGCCTAGTGCAGCCTAGTGTTTCTTTTGTAAAGGTAAGTGTTTAAAAAAACTCTTGTGCATTTTAAGGGGTTTTATTGAAAAACACTCTGAAAAAAAGCAATTATAAAAAATAAATTTTCATATTTCTTCTTCTTATTTCAATATATGATGTCAATGGACTAATACAAACCTTTAAGAAATTAAAATGTCGTCAAATTGTCTTGGTGGCCTCATATTTCATTTTTATACGATTTTTTTACATATTTTTCAAATATTCACCAATATTTGGAAAATAAAATATTGCTATTTTTGTGTTAAAAGTGATATACTGAGCTCAAAAATCACAGTGTGGAAAAAATTATTTCAGTTTTATAGTGATGGGCGTCTATAGTAGATTACATTTACATAAAAAAATTACTCCAATATAAAGTTGGTTTTGTATGGAAAGTGCCCGCGTTTTATAACAAAACGCAGGCACTTACCATACAGTCCACAAGTCCCTCATTCTTTTATTATTATATTCTTATATTTATTTTATTCTTATTTACGTTCATTAATTTATTATATTTTAAAATTTTAACTGAACTTTTTTTTTTAATTGTACACGGGTTCGAGATAAGTTTTCAAATTTAATTTTTGCGCTTTTATGCAGGACGAATGTGAATATTTTGCGTGGAAAAATTTAAATTAAGTTAATAGCAATAATTATAAAATGATTTTTTTTAAATATTTCAATTTTTATTGTTAAAAATATCAAAAGAATTATTACATTGTTTGCATAAGACCGTTAAAAAGCTGTACAAGTTGGAATTGAAAAAATCAGTAGCTTATAAGAAAATTAACAAATAACTAAATAGATCTGATATTTACTAAGCCCTTACAGATCTTCAAAGAGGAGAAGACTTTTTTTTTCAAAATGTTGGAACTTCAAAACCGGAAATCGATCGACGCAAAGACTTATCCAGAAATATTTAGGCCTAAAGAGTTTTGTAAAAAGCAAACGACAGCTCCTGAGCAAAGCATCAAAATATATATATATATATATATAAAAATCGACTCAGAAGTATATAGTGCATTTTTTAGTGAACATTTGTTTCCCTAGTCCAAAAAAAAGTTCAAGCAAAGGCAATCGTTCTTTTAACAGGATTATGCTTTAGTCTATCATGCCGAAACAGCCATGTAGTTTCCCCAAGAAAAAAATTCCTCATGTTTGGACATTAAACATGTGGCCACTCTCATCATCTGACCTTAATCCAATGGATCCAATTATTTGATCAGTAATGGATTCAAGAAAAATCTATCAAAATGTGGAGAGCCTCATAGTAGAATTAAACAAGATATGGTATAAGCTTAACAAGAACATGTTGTGATGAACTTGTGAGCAAGTACTGAATTTCTGGAGTCTGTCATTTCATTAAAAGTTCTTTTGAACAAAAATAGTTTTGTAATAATTTTAATACTTTTTAGTACTCAGTGTTCAGTTTATTTGTAAATTTTTAACATAATCTTAACTCTAATTTGTCTTGATGTTTTGCACACCCCTGTTATAAAAAACATCAAAAAAAAATAATAATAATAAATAAATAATCATGTGGTTAGACACTAGTATAGAAAAAGTTAACGAGAAATAACGGGTAATCGCAAATTATTTTCCTTATAAAATATTTTTTCTGATTTTTTTTATGTAAATTTTTAACTTAATTTTGATAACCCATTTTTTAAATTTTGAATTTTAATTTAAAGACAACTTTTAAAGGTTTTTAACATTTTGTATCAGCTGATAATACAGATTCTACTAGATACATAACATTTTTCGATTATATCTTTTAATTTTTTAAATAGTTTTAATAGATAATTAAAGTCAACTTGCATTGTATCTATCAATTTAAATTGTATGGACTTCTAACATTGTTTTGTAATTTGCAAAACTACCTCTGTAAGAAAATCTATATAAAAAGAAAATCTTTATAAAAAGATCGCCATGCTTCGGTATTAGGTTATCGTAAAAGATTCACAAAATAAATAAATAAATAAATTTTTAAATAAAAACTATTCAAAGAAGACTGTTTGGGATGGAATTATTTTGAATGTATGATTTAGCAACGATCCTTATAACGCTACGTCAAAAGAGAATGCATAATATATTCCTTTGACACTTTCGTTGGCGACAAATAAATAAAATAACAAATATTTTTAAATTAAATTTTCATAATTATACGATTTTATTTCTATTAAAAATATTTGAGACATTTTTTTTTATTATTTCATATTTAAAAGTTATCTTTATATGTTTGTAAGTTAAATTATGCATGAATACGGAAAACCGTTACTCAATTCTAAATAAGGAAATAGACTATAACCTTATATTCATGATATTTTCTATTCAAAAGTTAACATAAAACCGCAAAAACAGAATTAGAATTTGACAAACATATCTTAGAAGAATATCTTTTAATTTTATTTAATTAAAACTTTTATGTATATTAATTAATGTGTACTACAAACGTACAAAGGCGGTATAAAAGTGTAATTTAAGTCAACAGATAGTACGAATGTGTGGTTTAAGCAGATTTAATCCTAAAACAGTTTGTGATTAATCATAGCAGGTGTTACAAACCTTTTTGACAATCGAACTTTTTACAAACATTTTTGACAATTGAAAATTAAAGATTTTTGATGTTTGATGTCTTACTACTTGTTAAAAAAATACAACAGAAATTAGAAATAAAAGTTATAATTTACTAGAATCACATTACTTCAGCCTGCAATCATTCCCTAATAGCACTGTATTGTGCAATCATTCTTTAAAAGTTTATTTCAGGTTTACAGCTGGATATATAAATTTTAGAAAAAATATTTTTAACTATGAATAAATTTGTTTTTTCAAAGATTAAAATTTCTCGACTTTTAAACAATTTTACTCTACATTTGATTATGTTTTAATATGTGAAATTTTTCATGAAAGTAAAAATTGAATATTTTTATTTAAATAAAGTAAAAAACCTGAATACATACATGGTGTATAAAACCTCGTAAAAGTTATAAACGCCATGCATGGTGTTTATATTTATACAATTAAACCGTAATGAACATATATATACATATATATATATATATATATATATATATATATATATATATATATATATATATATATATATATATATATATATATATATATATATATATATATATATATATATATATATATATATATATATATATATATATATATATATATATATATATATATATATATATATATATAATATTATACTGTATAACTTAACATCGTCTTTCATACATTATTAATTCACAAAAAACATCATTAAGTTAAAATAAAAACAATATCTTTTTTTTTTATCATTATTTAGTTGATCAAAATTACCTTAATAATATAAAAATTTTTTAACTTTTATTTTAATATACAATACTTATTTGTTTTACTTATTAAAAATACTGTATTTTACTAAAATAAAAAAATATAAATATTTTTGATAAAAATTATAAATGGCTGATTTCCCGATCTGACGATTGTTGGCTCCATCTCATTTTTTGTTTGCTTTTTTTCATTTTCGTTTTTTTTTTTAGCTTGTTCACTATACTGCCTTTAAAGAACTTTCAGAACTTTTACAATTTTTTTAAAGTTTTTTTCAATTTATTATTATTATTCTTGCATTGTTTTAGTTTTTTACTTTTTAACTTGCTTCCACCGACTCAATTGTTCCTCACCAAACGAACCGCTAAGGAGGATCTATCTAGATCTAAATATTTGCTATGTGTTCAATTGATTATTTTTAGTTTCTAAAAATTCTCTAAAAAACAAATTAGATCTCTTTTGAGATCTAATTTTTCATACTATCGAATATGTATTTTTTTTATAAATACATATTCGATTGTTCGATTGGCTTTTGGTCATTGGCGCTTAATCATCTTAATTTCATCAGCATCCTTCTTCGTTTCGTCAGCATTACGTACCATTTTATCTAAGTCAACAGCAATAACTAAGATAGCTATGCTCACCGTTTCAGATTTTTTTTCCGTTCTTAGTTTTTCATTCTACGTACTAGAATAAAATCTAAGTAATAAATCTCTATTCTAAGTTTTTCATTCTACATACTTCAGTAAAATCTTGAGATTTAAATGATGAGGTATAAAAAAACAATAAATTGGATTTTACACAAAATGTTTGGAATTTGAACCTTTAAAACTTGGCGTCATAGAAGAAAATGGATTGTATATTATATATTAGAATAAAAATACTATAAGAAAAACAATGTTCGGCAACAGAAAAGAACCTCCCCGGTTTGTCGGGCTCTATTTTACTCTATTTTATTTTTTTATACACTTTTATTTGAAGCAATACCCATATTTAAGAGTAAAAAAATCAAAAATGATAAATTCTTGAAAAATTCTTTGTCAAAACTGTTGTGTGTAAATAAATGTATATTTTATTTTGTAAATTTATATATTTTATTAAATAACTAAGCAAATTTTATTTTGAATACCATAAAATAAAATTTTTTACTTCATTTTGCCGTAAAGCCGAAATACACTACTAAAGTTAATGGTAACTAGATGAAGAAAATACTTAAATATTATCTTTCGCCACAGCTAAGCATTGAGTTCTATCGTCATAATAGTTGTTTGATCCTACTTAGAATTGCAAATTTATAAACATAGATTAATTATAAATGTAACCGTGCTTTAAATTTCAAAACACAAATCGTGGTTTGGCCAAACAATTTTTTTTTTCACCAGATACGTTGTTTGGTGAGGCTCGTTACAAAAAATCACTATCTCTCATACACTTTATGCAAGATCAACGGGAAAAAAAACGCTGCTTCCTATACATCAAATTTATTTTAATAAGTTTTCTCGTGCAATATATATTAACTAATACATAAAATAAAAATTGTACAAAATTATCTTATTTCAAAATAGTTATTGGGGTTATCTAAAGCAAATGTGAACTTTGTGTCTGCTATAAATATATTTAAAAGAAGCATCGATAGTTACATAAAATTTTCTGTGTTTATTTGTCATTTTGGTATTTTGTTGTGGATTTTTGTAGTAAATGTATAGAACTTGTAATGCAGAGTAAATGTTTGAAATTGTCATTGGATCAATGGATTTGGGGCCCTACTGCACATTGGAAACTTTACTATTCATTAAAAAAATATGGAGGAAAATGGGCTTCTGCACTTTTAGCTGAATCAGAGAGAGAAAAAGAGTACAGTGGAATTGTTAAATCAGAGAAAAATGAAAAATGTAAGCCTTGTTTTACTCAAGCATCAAATGAAATTGATGCCAATTCAACATACTCTCGTCAAATTATCATTGCTGGAGTATCAAAAAATAAATACCGTAGTAGAGATAAGTTTTGTTTTAAAAGGTCTTATTCTAATTTATCTATTAAAAATGAAGGGAGTATAACAAATGATGAAGCTAATAAAATGGTTTGGTGCAACGAAAAAGTAATAAATATCAATAAAGATGTTGTATCAAAGTGTCATACAAATCAGCTCGCATCGAATTCTCCTAATGAAGATCAAATTTCTATCACACAGTTTGATTTAGAGAATGGTACTTTATTTACTGTACTTGATGGTCATGGTGGTCATTTATTTGGTGAAGAGGTCAAAGTAAGGCTGCCATATTATCTCCAAGCTGCTCTATTGAACAAGGATTTCAATGAAAACTTTTATGAATCTGTTTTTAACTTAATTCAAAACAGTACAGATTTACATATAAAAGATGAACCATGGATGAAAGAGTTACTAGCTTATGTAAAAACAAGCAATAAGGAATTTCCACTATTAGAATCCTCTGAAAATGATAATTTCTTTAAAACTCAAGAAAAAAAAATGGAAGAAGCTATTAAGAATGCTTTTGTAAAACTTGACTTAGACATCATTAATGAACTTCAAAATTTATCAAAGCTAAATAAACTTGACACTAGAGGTATTAAAACAGCATTATCTGGATGCTGTGCTTTGTCTGCATACATAGTAAAAGATGAAGTATTTATAGCTAATGTAGGTGATTGTCGTGCAGTATTGGGAAAACATCTTAATAGTGAATGGTCATCTGTGCAATTGACAACAGATCACACTGCAGGTAGTATAAACTTTTCTTTAACTCTCATTTTTGTTGTGTTTTATGTTTAACTTAAAAAGAATTTTTATTGTGTTATACTTTTAAACATTTGACATGTTTTTTACGTTTTGTTTTTAAACATCTTTGTTGTATTTTACATTTTGTTTTCAAGCATTTTGTTGTGTTTTATATTTTACTTTTAAACATATTTGTTTTATTTTCCATTTTACTTTCAAGCATTTACTCTTTTATTGTGATACAATTAAATTTAACAGGTGATATAAAAAATTATTGATGCAAACTTGAGTGTCTTGTAAGAATACAAAAAGTTGATTTTAAATTATTTACTTTTTAATACTCATGATAGTAATGTTTAGTACTGCAATTTAATACAAAGATATTTTTCAGTATTGTCATTATACTAATGTCTGTTTGGTTTATTAATATTTTCAAGGATATAATTATAAAAAAGAGTTTCAATGTTGTTTTAAAATAAATCATTAATTTCCAGTCTTAATTATTGTATATTTTTATATTTTATTTGATTATTATTATTACTTTGTGGTGTGCTTAGGTCAGGGTTTAAAATAATAATTTTTATTATGAAGTTGACTTTTACAACTTCACATTAAATTAGCTTTTACAACTCTCTTTATTTTGTTTTGTTTAATACATTCTTTTAAAACTTGATGCTAAAGTTAATTTTTGTTTTTTAAAATAAAAGCATTCATTTTTAGATAATTGTTTAGATGCCAAAAATTTCTGAGTGGTTAATATTTATTGGTAAATTACTTTGTTAAATTAAATATTGCATGCTATTGATCCAAATTTGAGGAAAACAGATCAAAGAACATGCTCCTGAATTCTGCAATTTAATTTTTTAATAAATTATTTGATGCTTAAAGTTAAAATCTACTATAATGAATTATTGATTAATGTTGTTTAATGTATGTTAATTTATTCATAGTTTTCATTGTTAAGTTAACTGATATTTTTTCCACCTGGGAAAAAACCAGTTGAATTATTTACAGTTCATTAGCATTGATTTTCTATCTAAACCAATTCTCATAAAATATTTATACAGTGTTACTTTTGTGCATGTTAATTCAGTATGCATACATGTGGGATCTTATTTAAACTATCACATTTAAGGAATGCATTATTAATTTTTAAATTTTTACTGTTAAGGAAAAATTATAATTTTTCCTTAACAGTAAAATTATGATAATTATGATTTTTCAGTAAAATTATGAATAATTATGATTTTTCAGTTTTCTAAATTATATAAATTCTTGAAAATGTTATAGCTTTGATTTAAATACTTTTATAAAATAAATTGTTTCAAATAAGTAAAAACTTGTAAAGTTGTAACTATATTTTGTTGGATCAGGATGATATAGTTGTACATTAGTATGTAAAATTAGATTAACATAGTAATATAATTTTTTTATTAATAAAAATAGTTATTGTTTGCACAATTTGTTGCATATGTATTTGTAAAAGTATATGCAGTAGATATACATTACCATATGGAACATTTGTGCAATAGTTTATGTAGCATATATATAATAAATCTAAGCTTCCACTTTTTATATTCATTTTAGTTTCGAATGCTTCAGAAGTAAGGAGAATATTATCTAAACATCCAGCTGAAGAAAGTCGAAGTTGTATCCAGTATGGTAGGTTATTAGGACGGTTAGCACCACTTAGAGCTTTAGGTGATATGCAATTTAAGCTTCCAAATGAAGAACTCCGTGATGTATTCAAAACAATGCCTAAATATAATCCAATCCAAGCTTCAAAAACTCCTCCTTATTTAACTGCTGAACCTGAAATGTTTCATTATAAACTAGAAAAGCATGACAAGTTCATTGTTTTAGCCAGTGATGGTTTATGGGATATGTTAAGTAATGATGAAGTAGTCGAGTTGGTTGGTGCATACATTGAGGGACGTCAAATTGACTTATTAAAAGAAAGGGCATGTTATTACTGTGTTCCAAATTATGAAGACTTAGTAAGCTCAGATAATGCTTTTGTCAAAGATGAAAATGTTGCTAGTTTTCTCATTCGCTTTGCACTTGGTGGTTATGATCCAAACAATCTCCGATCAATGTTATCAATCCCTCATCCAGATGTTCGTTTGTTTCGTGATGATATTACAGTAATGGTTATTTTTTTAAATAGCTTGAATTTTTAATTGTCTAGGAAATATTTATGTGACAGTTTAACAAATTTAACACTTGCTCTCCAAGGTTTATGTTGCAGTATTCCTTTAGTTTAAGGACTTGTTAAATGTCATCTTTTTAATTTTGTATAAAACTCATATATAAAACTTATAAATATTTTCGTAAATTATGAATGTAAATAAAGATTAATAAAATTTTCACAATTTTTAGAGCTTTTTCGAGTTGATTGATTAGTTGATTTTTTTTCTACGAGGAATAACCTGAAATTTTTTTTTCTACGACGCACTATGGCTTAGAATGATCCAAAAACGGCACAAACGCTACAACATCGTAAATAAACATGTTGTTTAAATAATATTTTTTGGGTCAAAGAATTCAAATTTGTTAATAAAAATATTTTTCACGCGCAGCTTTGACGCGTACCAAGCACGCATTCAAGTTATGCGTTATCGCCTACAGGGCCGGCGCGAGTAGGTGTCACGTGGGGGGAGGGGGAAATGCCATTAAAACTTTTTCCGACATAAAAAAAAAAAGATCCTCGTTTTCCAAAATTTGCCGACTGCCGTGACGACATTTGCCGACTGTCTAAACTATATCGAAAGGGTCGACATTTGCCGACTAACTAGTCTAAAAGGTCCAATTTGCCGACTAAGGGCCCAGTTTGCCGACTAAAATTCATTGATGGGGGGGGGGTCACACCCGTGCCGACCTTGATCGCCTATTTCACTATACGCGTAAGAAATAATTTTAAAATTTAAGAATGTTCCAAAACAGACTATTTTGATACATTATTATCGGGTATTTTTATATCAACGGTTTTTAAAGGATGCTGACACAAAGAAAAAACGGTTTTTCAGAAGAAAAAAAACAACTGCGTTTTTTATTATTTTTTAACAATAAGTTGAAATTTCAAATGCAAATTAAATAAAACTTTGCAATTTTGTGCAGCTGGATTTTTTTATATTGCTTTTAATTAGTGTAAAAACCAAAATAAATTTGGAAACACTGTGGGATTATGTTTACTTTCTTTTTATAGTTAACTTTAAAAGAGCAAGTTAATTAAAAAAAAACTCAATTTTAATTACAAAACTTTTATGAAATTTTATTGTAAAAATTTTATGTAGCTATGCAAAAAAATATTTTTATTTTTATATTTAAAACCATAATTAAAGCCTTATAAGTTTTTCATATATAAAAAAATAAAAAAACAAAAAATATTTTTGCATAATTTAAATTTTTATTCTATCAAATATATAAGGATCTTCAAACATGATGGTTTTAGAAAAAACTTATTTATATTGGCCTTAACATCATTTTGAAATATAATTGAAAGTACCACGAAATTCTTGGAATTTTACCTATTCAATCATTATGCTTGCTGAAAGCCTTACTCAACTCTTAATTCCATAAATTAATTATCCCAATGCCCTAATATTTCTAATAAACATTTATCTGAGAGTACGAAAAAATTTTTATTTTAAATTAACTCATAATTTAAAATTGGACCACTCATGGTCCACTAAAATTACACGGTCTGATTTGTTGCATTTTTCGTAAAAATTCAAGCCGCCAGTTTTTTTTTACGACTTACGTATAAAATCAAATCAAATCAAATACATTTCGAAATAAGTTATAACATATCAAGGAAATTTACAATAGTACAAGTACTAAATAAAGTAAATACCTCAATATACAACGTAACGTTATAGTCAATGATGAAAGTAATAATAATAACTGTTATTAATAATACTAATAATAACAATAATAATTATAGCAATAATAATAATAGTAACGAAATAATAACAATTATAATAAGAGAAAAATTTCATAATTAAAGACAATAACAGCAGCAACAAAAATTTAGTAAAGAGTGATGGCAACAACAAAGATTTAGTACGAAGTAGAATAGTTGAGAAATAGATAATTTTTGAATGAAAAGAGATAAATAGATAGATAAATAAAGAATGCCAAGCCATTGGTACTAAAATTAATAATTTTATTATAGAAAGTTTAATAATAAAGTTTAAAAATGGCAGATAGAAAACCAGAGAAATTAGATGTAGATAGATAATATAAAAATATCAAATTAAAAACTGATTACGAATTGACATATATAGTAAAGAATGTCAGTATTAGTTGGTAGAAATATTTAATTGTATTTTTTTAACAGATAATTAAAAAGCTTGATTTTGAATTCAGAGATTGAATTAAGAAATTTTAGATCAGAAGGTAGTTTGTTCCATGAGCTAATACATTGATATTTAATGGATTTATTTCCATATTTAGCAGATTGGTGTTTCGGAATAATTAATTTAAGCTACTGATGGAGCGAAGAGGATAGTGACAATTTGTAATTGAAAAGAAATTGTTGAATGATAGGGGAAGGTTTTTATGATGATAATTCCAGACAAATAGGCAGTTGAAGAATACCACAAGGTTGCTTATTTTTAATATTTTGGAGATTAGGTGTAGTATAGCTCCTATACATTAGATTTAGAGTTATTATACTAAAAATATATTATTTTGAAGGCTATATTTTGGAGATGGGACAACCTTAAAATGATTTGTTTATGAGATTGTCCCCATACTTGACATGCATATCTTAGATGAGACTTAAAAATAGCATGATATATATTTAGCAGAGTTTCTAGATTTACATAATAGCGGACTTTGGCTAGCATTCCATTAGATCTGCTGAGTTTCATTGCTAAGTCATTCAGCTGGCCTTGAAAAGAAAGATTAAAAAAAGATTTTTTTAAGTGATTTGTTAACCAGTAGCATGTTAGTATCATCAGCAAAATGGTAAGCAGTTGAAAATTTAAAAGAAGTATTCAAGTCATAATTAAAAAGAAGAAAAAGAAGTCGTCCTAAAACTGAACCTTGTGGAACGCCATTTGAGCAATTCTGTAAATCAGATTTAGTGCTATTAATGGAAACAAACTATGTTCTATTTTTGAGATATGAAGTAAACCATTTTAGTGGGATGCCTCTGATTCCGCAGTATTCTAATTTTGTGAGAAGGATGGAGTGATCCACAGTATCAAAAGATTTCTGCAAATTTACAAACACCCCACATGCAAAGTGTTTATTATCTAGAGCTCTTCTAATCTTCTCAGTAATTTCAATAAGTGCAAGGGTTGTAGAATGTTTGCTTTGAAATCCATATTGATGTTGGTACAAGCATTTAAATTAGAAACTTGTATAGTCTGTTATGCATAGCCTTCTCAAAAAGTTTGCTTAAGTTGGAAAGAAGGGAAATGGGTCGATAGTTAGAAAAGTCTAGTAAAGAGCCTGCTTTATAAATTAGAATGACTTGAGCTACTTTAAAAACATCAGGGAATTCGCCATTTTTAAAAGAATTATTTATCATAATGCTAAGAGGTTTGGAGATTATTTGAGAGGAAAGTTAAGAAAATATGTAGGTATGCTGTTAGGTTCATAACTTTTATCATTTTTAAGAGTATTACTAATAAGACTAGATACCTCATCTTCACTCACAGGATCAATAAAGAAAGAATTAGCATTAGGAAAATTAAGAAAGTCACTATAAGTATATTCTGATGGCATAATATTATTGAGTAGTTTTTCACGAATAGAGACAAAGTAGTTATTAAATATATTTGAAACAGTAGCATGGTCTGTGATAATATTTCCATTCAGATTTAACTGAGTAGGTGTTTTATGTAATGATCCTTTAATATTTATGATATCTTTTATGCTTTTTCATGTATTTTTTATCTTGTTTATGTTGTTATTATAATAAGTTATGTAGTATGATTTTTTACTACTTTTTAATAAGTTGCTAATTTTATTTCTATAGAATTTAAATTTTGTGAAAAGCTCATTTTTAGTATTAATGTTTTTACATCTTACAAATTTTTTATAGAGCTTGTTTTTTACAGAGATAGATTTAAGTAAGGCTTTAGAGATCCAGGGTTTAGATTTAAGTTTGATTTGATTTTTAGTCAAAGTTTTATAGGGGACGCATTGGTCTAGAACCCTATTAAATGATTTTAAAAAATTATTGATGGATTCATTAATATTGTCATCTTTTTTAATAATAAGCTCCCAGTTGATTTTAGAAATTTCTATAATAAATTTGTTAGGGTCAAATTTTTTTAAACATCTAGAAATTTCATCTTTATTTGGTTGGTTGGATGTGCCAGGAAAAGATCAATTTTTGTTCTTTGCTTAACTTTTCAAGAAGTGAAGTTAAAAATGTTATATTCAGTTCATTTTGATTCATTGATGGATGACGATATATACAACCAATAAGGACATTTGTTTTGTGTGGCTTAATAATTTCAACAAAAACAGACTCTAGAAATTTTGGTAAGTAAATATTTAAGTCATGACGAACTGCATAATTTAAATTAGACTGCAGATATAAAAGAGTAGCACCTTTTTTGGCCTCAGTGGGGCAATGCTCAATATTGAACCCATTAATAGATATGTCTGTTATATTGGTATCATTAAGGTATAAGTTGGATTCAGTAATCCCTATTGCCATAGGTATGATATTCAATGTGCTGATAAGACTGCACAGGTCATCAATGTGATAGGGAAGTGAAGCAATGTAAAGGTGAAGATATATATCTAAATTAGGTTTGATAGCATTATTAAAGTCAACAATATCATAGAATTTACAATTTATAGCAGAACTAGAGATAGTATTAAGTTATTTAAGTATGTTTCTTGAATGAATTGGAGATACAAGAAAACTTGATGATGCAGTTTGCGGATTTTTGCATGATAATGTTGTTAAGAGCTCATTATCAGTAAGCAGACCAAATGGCATGTTTTTAGATATACAATTAAATTAGTACCATTCTAAAGAGTCTTCAGAGAGAAAATTATAAGTGAGCAAATCTATTTGGTTGCACTTAGCATGAACCCATGAACTGCAAAAGTAACAATAGATGGCTTTGTGGTTATCTGTTACAGTTTTAAAACAAAAAATACAGAGTGTTTTATTTTTCATAACTTGATAGGCAGAATGTTATTATGTTTTATTATTGATAAACACAGAAGGTGATGAAAAAAAAAGGAGTGAGTAAAGATATAATAAATAAGATAAACTTATAATAAGAGAGTAATTGTGAGACAAAATGGATTTGCATAAGAACAGTATATATAACACAGTACAGGTAGGTTATACAAAATCAAGTAGATGATGTTGAAGAGATTAAATAGATGCTAACAATTAACAAAAACACTAACTAGCCA